GGTTTGGGGGGGATTTGGGGTTTTTTGGGGGGGGATTTGGGGTTTTGGGGGGTGAAACAGGAAAAGTGTGCTCGGGATTTGGGGAAAAACAAGGGTGAGACGGGTGGTCTGCAAGGGAAGGGGGACTTTGGGGTTTTTGGGGGGGATTTGGGGCTTTTGGGGGTGAAAACAGGAAAAAAATCTGGATTCAGGGAAAAACGGCGGTGAGATGGGTGGTCTGCATGGGGATGGGGGGGTTTGGGGTTTTTTGGGGGAGAATTTGGGGGTTTTGGGGAGGAATTTGGAATTTTCCCCCAGATTTGAAGTCCTGCCCGTGTTGTGTGGGAGGAAATTGGGGCGATTTTGGTGAGTTGAGAGCGATGCTGTTCTGGGGGAAAAAGCGAGAATTCCAGGGGCAGGGAAGGTCACACAGATCCCAAATCCTGGGGTTTCACCCCAAAATGGCCCTGTCAGAGTGAACTCCTGACATTCCCCACACGGGATAGCCCCAAAGCTGAGGAAATGGGGAAAGTGCCCCAAACTGGTCGTGCAGGTTGAGGTGTGGCCAGGGGCCCAACCCCAAGGGCCTTCCTCAAGCCCTGAGGGAGGTTCGTTAAGCTTTGGGGTGGTTAATTAAGCACTAGGCATGTTAATTAAATGCTAATCAGAGCCACCGAGGAACGACAGAGCCGTGACAGGGGTGGGGGCACAGCAGTCCCCCTCCCAAAATGAGGCTAAACTCGGGGTTTTCTGTCTCCCCAAGGGTCAGGGACACCCCAAACTCAGGGATTGTGCCCCAAAAATGCATAAATCAACCCCAAAATGGGGGTGAGGGGGAGTCCAACCCACCCTCCTGCCCAGGGGTCCCCCCAGTTCCCTGTGTCCCCCCTCCCTGACAGCGCCAGGTCCCCCTGCCCCCCTGCCCACGTACGTTTTTGGGGTGAAGTTCACAGAAACAGCCTCTTTTCACCCCGTTTCGGGGGCCTGGAGCCCCGGCAGGTGCCGCGGGGCGAGGGCCGGGCCCGGCTGCAGCTCCGCTGCCACTTCTGCCCCGGCGCTGGGGAGGAAGCACCGGAAAAGAACCAAAACCCCAAGTGCAAACCAGCACAGCTCCAGCCAAAGCAGCAACAACCCCCGTTCCCCCTGCCGAGGCGGCTCCGACACCCCAAAATCCCCTTTTTTGGCAAAAGCACGGCTCGGGGGGCGGGGTGCGGGAGCCCCCAGAGCTCGCAGCCCGTTCCCGGCTGCGGGCAGGGACGGGAGCAGTGCCGGGGGCGGTTTTTGCCCGTTCCGGCGGGTTTTTGCCCCGTTCCGGAGTTGTGTAAGCGGGTCCGGAGGCGCTCCCGCTGTGTCACCGGCCGTCCCCGCCCGGGCCCGCTCCGTACCTCTCTGCCGGCGGGGGCGGCGCTCCCGGTCTCGCCGCTGTTTTGGGGGAGCAAACGGGGCAAAAGCGAATTTGTCACCCCAAACTTCCTGGAGCGGCGAGGCGAGGCCGCCCCCACCCCGAGACTCCTCCCTGCGCCGCTCCCTCCCCCCGCGGGGAGCGGCTCTGGGGGAACCGGGGTGGGTTTGGGGAAAATCCTGCGGGAATTTCACCGCATTGGAGCGCGGAGGGGCGCGGGTGGGCTGGGCACGGCGGGGGCACTGGGGGTGGGCAGGGATGGACACTGGGGGTGGACACTGGGG